TATTTATTTATTTATTTATTTTTTTTTCTAGACCTGAATTGTGTCTGGGTCAGGTCACTTAAGACTCAATTGGTTTCATAAACTTTGATGCATTAGCAAACTTGAGGAGAAGAGGCAACATGCAAGTGTTAGCAGTAAAAATAAAGGGCATCTGGGAAGAGGTATTCTAAATTATTTTAGAGAGACCTTTCACTCCGTACTTAGGGGAAGGACTTCTGTTGAACATGTCCATTCAAAATTAAGGGTAGGCATTGTGCTGATTTGGAAAGCCCACTTACCTTAAAAGCAGTTAAGACGACAGCTTGTCCACTTCTAAGAGATAAAGCTCCTGATCCTAATTATCATCAAAATAACTTTCTAAGCTCCTGATCCTAATTATCATCAAATAACTTTCTTCCAGTTTTACTCAAAAAACATAAAAGGTGACTTGGTGAAAATGGTTGAGGAATTCTACCAAAGGGGTGTAATTAACATGACTGTAACCTCCACTTCCATAGCGATGGTTTCCAAAAGACGGTCCATAGAGCACTTCAATGATAATATGCCTATCAACCTTTCGTCAAATTTCGTATAAAATCATTGCGAAAGTTACCAGCCATCAGACTCAAAAGAGTCATCCATGATGTTATATCGGGATAGCAATAAGCTTTCTTAAAGATCGACAAATCATGGATAGTGTTCTTACGGCATAAAAATGTATACATTCTAGAAGGCTTGTTGGGAAGCGATAATAGTATGTAAACTGTTCTTCGAAAAAGCTTACAACAGAAGAGTCATCCATGATGTTATATCGGGATAGCAATAAGCTTTCTCAAAGATCGACAAATCATGGATAGTATTTTTACGGCATAAGAATGTATACATTCTAGAAGGCATGTTGGGAAGCGAGAATAGCATGTAAACTGTACTTCGAAAAGCTTACAACAGAGTAGGGATCTGAGGAAAGACGGAGGAATTAGATAAGAGCTTGTTTGGTTAACACGCACGTTGTGAGACAGGCAGAAGACTTTGTGGGAAAGTGTTTAGGGTAAGCCATTTTGGCATGAGGTAGGTAGTGAGAAAAAAGAGAGGGCTCACTTTGTATACGTTCATCTGAACCTTTCTCTTTGATTTTTATGTTGGGATGTGGGTGAGGTATTTTTTGGTGTATATATAAAGAAAATGTTTAGAACGAAAGAAGTGGAAAATCAATACTCAAGCATATGAGATACATTATAGATTATAAAAGTGATTTATTTAGGAATGTGATGATGGATTAGGAGAGTACCTTAAAGAGTGATACTTACATATATCTTTAGAAATGATAAACATCCCAAAATAGGTTAACATTATCATTACTTCTTAATAAATTTAGATATCATTTTACTCCCTACTGAAAAACTAGACCTTACATTTCTACATTCTTCACATATTCTTTCATTCTTTCCTCTTCCATATATCTCATCCCCCTTTCTGCAATTTTTTGCCAGTTCTTAATTTTGAATTATTTTTTAAGAAATAATTTTGATAGAATGCTTCGTAAGCGTGGATTTACCATGAAATCAAAACATTAGAAACAGGAAGGCAGGGGAGAGAGACTCTTGATTTGGCCAAGCCATCTGTTGCACCATTTGCTTCACGAAGAGTGTGGCCAAAAGAAATTTTCCATCTCGGAAGTGCACAAAGGTTTAAAATTTTGATCCAATGAGAGAAAAGGACCGCTGGACCCCTTTGCTCTCTCCTACACCATTTGATAACATTAAGTGAATCCCCTTCTACTATAATATCTCTGGCAAAGCCCTTGTCAAAAACAATAAGCAAACCTTGATGGAGGGTAGTCAAATTCAGCATGATTGATAGACATAATACCACAAGGACTAAAGAAAGATAACAAGATCCCACCAGAGCTGTCATGCACTAAACCCCCTACACCTACAGGATTTGCATTCCCAAGAGAACTGTCAATGGCTAAAAGTGATTGTGACCACTTTTTACAAAAAATAAATGGCTTCATAGTATACAATCTCATTTTTGTGCAATACAATATTTTGTCTTTTTTTTTAAAAAAATATGATTTATTTATATCCATGGCTATTTTTGTTTATTCTCTACATCCATAATAGCATTATTTTGTAGGTATTTTTCCTTTTTTACGAATCTTGACAAAGGTCAAAGAGATTATCTATGTTCCTTTTGATTTTATTTAAAGAAAAATTATAACATATTAATTATGTATTATGTTGTTTCAACATGGTTAGATCAATATTTCTCTTGCCTTCGCACAAGGAAGTTAGGTGCTCCTATTATTTGAACTTCGTGACCACGCCTTTTGAAGCTATAGCTTTCCATTATTTATTTAACATTTACATTTTTATTTTGAAAAACTTGTATGCATGGAAGCACACGTGCAACGCACGTGCCTTGAACTAGTAATGATATAATGATTGTTGTTGTTTTAATATTTTGATATGAGAATAATATAGTGATCGATATTGCAACATTATATTGACAAATCTAGATTACGAATGTCTGATATACATGGTTTTGTGTTATGAATGATTTGATTATTAAGGTGGATATAAACCAAAATTGATCAATCATGTGAATGAAACATGATTTTGAAGAATGAAACAAAAAGTAAACCGTATAATAGATGCTCTTGCTAAACAAGGATATGAGACATGCTTAGATAAGATGCCTTATCAGACTTTAGTCTTCAAGGGGTAAAGTATATGTCTGGGAGCTACTAATTAAACATGCAAATGATTGTATTCGAATGGAGCAACACATCCTCAAGAATCATTCCAATATTATATGAGGAAAGAATTAAACCTACAAATTATTGCAAGGAGAATCTTCATATGGAGCAACACATCCTCGAGAATCATTCTAATATTATTTGAGGGAAGAATTTCTTCTGTCACTCAAGTATATTAGTGTCAAGGAACAAGTAGCAATATTCCTATTCACCTTCGATCATAGATCTGGCAATCATTATGTATACCGCTGATTCCAACACTCTAGTCAAACTATAAATCGATATTTCGATTGTGTCATTAAAATGATGGTAGGCTTCCACCTCATAACATATGTCTCCCATCAATAATTGCTACTCCAGGTTTCCGCAATAATGTTAGTTTCTTTCCCTTCTTCAAGATACCATTCATATTATATTTACTTTTATGTAATTATCACTATTAAGTCATTATAGTTTAATCATATGAAAGATTGTGTTGGAGCAATTGATGGGACTCTCAATCTTGTCATAATAAATGTTGAGAACCAAGGGCAATATTGCAATTCGAAATTGACTCCTTTTCCAAAGGAATTGGTGCATGATATTCAAGCATGATGGGAATGTTTTTGGTACTAACTCTCATCCTCTAAGCAAATATCACATAAAGCTTTCATGTTCTGCAAGGTATTTTATTCAAAATAATAAACTAATTAATTGACTTGATAAAAATATACTTGATTATTTAAATGGAATTGTGTACAAAGAGATCATTTATCTTTTGTACATGATCACAATCATTCTTGTCTTTTAAATTGCAAAATGGGTGGTTGTAAGAGTGTCAATGAATAGACACAAAGTTCCAAAAAATAAATTTTTAGATTTCATGACTCACCTCAAGCAGTCCAATTTGACATCTGATGAGTGGGTATTAATGTGACCTCTATGTACAAAAAATACATTGTCTATTTGTAGGCAATCCCTATTTAAACAGTTGTCTTTTTCAAGTAAGCCTAGGGAAGAAGGCCTTCTACCTGTTTTTCATTAACTAAAAATGGAGAAGATACAAATCATAGTAGTACAGTCCTATTTTAGGGTAATTGAGCCAAATCATAAACGAAATCTGGCAGCAAAAAAGAGACCATGTCAGAGAGGATTCGAACCATAAATGAGATGTAAATACCATCTCGTAGATACAAGTATGTGAATACCCAAGTTTCATTGCTCCATACTATATATATGTTAATAACATTAGGGCATGTTTGATTTGTATGAAAATGATTTTTTAGAAATGATTTTTAAAAAAAATAACTAATTTCTCACATTTAGTTCATCACAAGAGTAAGAAATCTTTTTAATGAAATTAATTGACATAAAAATTGGCCCAAATCTAAGAAATTTAAATCATACATATGTAGGTATGATTCTAATTTCTTTCAAAATCTGGGGCAAGGGTGTAAGTAAGGTTACCATCAGGCCGGGCTAGCCCAAGGCTCGGCAAAGCCCAAAAATACTTTGGCCTGCCCCAGTAAGGCCCTCCTGAAAAGTGTACCGAAAATCCCATCGCGCCCCCAAAA